ACTCCCCTGGCAACCACCATTCTACTTTCCGTGTCTATGAATTTGGCAACTCTAGGTACCTCATGTAAGTGGAAATCATACAGTATTTGCCCTTTGTGGCTGGCTTATGTCATTCGGCCCGATGTTTTCAAAGTTCACCTGGGCTGTCGCATGCGTCAGAATTTCCTTTCTCAGGCTGAAGATATTCCGTGGAATCCCATTTTGTTGATTCGTCTGTCTGTGGACACGTGGGTGGGCTGCTTCCACCTTCGGCTGTTGTAAGTAATGCTGCTGTGAACATGGGCGTACAAATATCTCTTCTAGGCATCCTTTTCAATCTTTTGGGTGTATTTGTAGTAAATCTATGTTGAATTTTTTTGAGAAGCCCCCATAGTGTTTTCCACTGTGGCTGTGCCATTTTACAACGTTACATTTTAAACAAAGGTTTTCATTAGACCCGCTTCTTGCTCCGAGTATCCCTTCACTTTCTGGAAAACCAATTCGACGTGTCCTTGGACTTCTCACGGCCCTGTCTGACGGTCACCTTTGCCTTCACCGTCCCGAGCCTCTGCCGCTCCAGTCCTTTCAGACTGAAGGGATTGCTCGGAGAATTGCTTAGCCATAGCAACCCCACGTAAAATTCCACTGCTCACTCCTTTAGCTGTAGCCTCTTTCCCATCAGCTGTAGCTGTTATGCACCTCACCAATATCTTATTAACAATACCGTGGTTCCACCACCTATATCCTGTTAGTCCTTTATTATGCCATCTGCCTCGGTCCTCTTCATCGAATCTGTTGTACTACAGATCCTACTACATGCATTTAGCTATATCTGTGAATCTGTCCCGTTAACTGTGTTACCTAATTTTTCTCAGCTGTTGCCTGAGTTGCTAGCATCCTGTTCATAATACCTTCAATGCTGTTAAAACTCTTCATCTGTTTAGATCTTGTTAGGTCCGGGTATCAAAAACCCACCGGGAAGCTACACACCTCATTTACCCTGGCGGCCCAGCCATGAATGTGCAGAGTGTGCAGAGGGCTTTGTCCCTAAAGTACCCTCTTAGGAAGGACCTTTTCCTTTGACCAAGACCATGCTGCCCACCAGGCTCTATGAGCCACATTAATGGAGTGTGTGTGTGCGCGTGTGCGTGTGTGTGTACGTGTAAGTGTGTGTGCGTGTGCACGTGCGTGCACGGGGAGCAGGGGCGCGGGGACACCGGAGTTGACTGGATGGGGAACATTGGTAACCCTGGCGAGAGGGGAGAGCACAGGGGAGTGGGGAAGGCCATGGGGAGGGAGGACTGCAGGATGAGGTCAGTGGTCACTTGTCAGGACAGAGCTTTCCGATGCCATCTCTTCTGTTAATGCCTGACAAGCCTGGATGACTTGCATCGCAGCAGCCCTCAGAGTGTTGCCAGAATGACAGCCCACCTCAGTTTCTTCTCAGTCTTATGATCCTGGGCTTGTCTGAGCCCTGATACAGAGGAGGCTCTGCCCCCAGGAGCCCTCCACGTCCCCCCACACACTTGAACTGCAACAGGGCTTGGTTAGCAGCCACCACAAAGACCTTGTACCTGTGGGCCACCTACAGATGGTGATGTTGATGTTCAGAACAGCAGATGCTCATAAAGGTTTGGCTGAATGTTGTGGAAGGGTGACTTGCGGAATCTGTCTTTTCTTTGCCATCACATATATTACACTTTAGGTCATGAAGGGATAAGGGGTCCTTGGCCGCCATCTGTACCCACCGGGGTTGCTGTCTGTAGGAACCCACATGCATTAAAAAGGCCAACTGTCTGTGTGTATGTAAAAGAATTCTCAGGTGGTCCTAGAGCAACCTTTGCTTTTCTGAAACACTTTTTAAAGGCACTACCAAAGCTGTGATCTTGTTTTATTTCACATGCTTTTGTTTATTTTTGTCTTTCCATTGTATAGATGGAGAAACTGAGACCCTGCTAGGGCCTCTTAGTAGAGTCAGGATTGCAAGTCTCCTAACTGCTCTGTAGCTGCCTCTCTGAATGGCACACAGTAACAGTGGGGCGAAATGTCAGGGCCCAGCTGTGGTCCTGACGGAACATGTATATGCCTCGCCTCTGGGCAGTGTTGGGGACGTTCCTCCTTATAACTCTGTGTGCTGGACAGAAGCTTTCACGGGGATGTCCAAGTGCGGCTGTGCAAACAGCCCAGGCCCAGCTTTGTGTGAGTGAAACGTCCCCACCCCCAGCTCCACAGCAGCCTCTGGATTCTGTGTTTACCAAACACCTGCTGATGCCTCATCCCAAACACAGCTGAAGTCTGGGAGCGCTTCCTGTACCAGAAGCTCCCCCTTCCTGCTCCCTGAGCCCCTGAGGAGCAGGTGTTGACAGGTCCCCTGGCATCTGTCTGAGCCACAGCCGTGAGAGATCTGATGGCCTCGAGGCAGGATGGGTCCATCTTGAATCTTGAAAAAGTATCTGACTGTGCTCCCACCTCTACTCCCTACTCCCGCCCCACCCCTTCCCTGCCTGCCCCCTCCTGTGTGGCAGCCACACCACGGGATCCCTGTTCGTTGGAGGGCCTGTGATGTTCACACCTCAGCTGGTCTGTCAGGAGCTTGTCCCTGTCCCTTTCCATCTGACACATTTTTGCTCATCCCACATCATGCAGTTTAACTGTGCTCTGTAGAAATCATTATCCAGTACGTATTACGTGGCCTGTAAATCCCAGTGGCGTGTGTCTTTTCCAAGCGGGAGTAGGAGCACCTTTGACGTAGGGCTAGATCTTTCTGTTTTGGCATCTGGAATCTTCCATAGCACCTCTAGCTCTCCAGAGCCCTCAGTAAATGTTTGAGTAAATGAAGCACGTACAAGACACGAAGATCATTAAGCAACAAACATTCAGCAGAAAGGGCTGTTAATTAAGAGAAGAAAGACAAGAACATCAGATATTCTAAGATAAGTACCGGTAGAAGGAACCACTAAAAGGTGTGAGTTTTGAGAGCAAATGTTTGATTTAGGCTCTCTGATGACACTCCATTCAATACAATGGCCAATCTCCATTCTGAGATTTACTATGGGTCTCACGGACTGTTGTTCTTTTTTGATTATTAACTGCGTCAGGCTTCTAAATATGTATTATTTAAAAGCTTGTCCTATTTCTAAGCACTGTTTGCGTTTGTGATAGCACACCCCTCATTTCATGGTGACTCCCATGGGAATGGGAGGGTCAACTTATTGGCATTCCAGTTGGCGCAGACTTTGCAGGAGGCTTGTGCCTTAACACATAAACCGAGGCCCATGTTGTTTCTTGGGTTGAGGGGACAGTTTGCCCCCGTGGGAGGGCCCGCCCCAGGCCTTTCTAACTGCTCTTCCACCTCTGTCTTCCCCCTGCAGGCTGGCCGTGGGTGACCCTCTCTGTCCTGGGATTCCTGTACTGCTACTCCCACGTGGGCATTGCCTGGGCCCAGACATACTCCACGAACTAATGTCACCGGTCCTAGGCGAGCTCTTGCTGTCGGCCTCCAAGGCAAATGGTGCTTCTCCCTGACCTCGTGGAACCTCCAAGGGACCAGTGCTTGATCTGCTCTTTTGTTGAAATTACCTCACTCCAAGAGTGGATGCTTGAGCTCTCATAGAAAATCGACAACCAGAGTGTCTTCTAACTTCAGAATTTAGAGATTGCCCCCCCCCCCCC